CCAGATGTTAGACACCCTCAATTTATTTTGGCCCTAACAATTTGGTCATTCAAAATTATGTGGGTACGGCTACAAAAAATAGTTTTCACATTAGAAGTTAATGAATGTTAGATCTATCATGTGATTTCAACTATGTTTGATGGTGAAACTTAAATTTAATAATTATGATTTTAATCTGTTAATAAAAATCGATTTAATTCACCCCATATTTTTTTAATTTTATTGCCCCGAGGTTTGTTTTCAAGCCGAATAATTTTGAGATATAATGCTATTTTTTAAAAAATAGTTTACTTTTTTAATTTTAAATATTTTGATTGAATTACTTTTTTTTTAAAAAAAATGTTCAAAATTTTATTTTAAAAAAAATTGATATTTGAATAAAAAAAATTACTAATAAACAAAATCAAGAAAAAATTATTTTTTAAGGTCTGGTTCGACTTATTATTAAACACCCGAAAAAATGAAAAAAATAACAAAACCAAAAAATAAACGAAAATAAACAACTTATAAACGAGAAAAAACATGCGATAAATAACAATGCCACCAAATACTTAAAACAAAACAAAATAGAGTGTCCTAGTTCAAAAGCTGTTTAGCCGAGGCTAGACAGCATGAAGTATCAAAAATAAGTCGAACCAGGAAACACCCTAAAACTTATTTTTATGACACAACACTTGTTTATAACATAACTTGCAAAGATTTACTAATTTTTTTTCGGGTAATAATATATAGCGTTGATTGTCATAGAGCAATTTACTTAACAACGACAAAGTTTTATTAAATACAATAAGACCCACTTTTATTTAAATTTTGTCAACGTAATCATTCGGTCGCTTCCGGTATTCTAAATATCATAACCCGTAACACGAAATCACCTAGTGCTGATTTTAGAAAAAAACCTGGTCCATGCTGGATTCGAATATATACAGTACTATCATATAAACCAGTATATATCGTAAACCAGAATATGTAGTATAATTAGGATATTTCAATGCTTTATCTATATCCAAAGAAACTAATGTAATACAGTATTATTAGATTTCTCAGATATGGTGTAATTCAAAATATGAAAATAAAGGAATAAATGACTTCCCAAACAATGGATAAAAATTTGCCCCTTATTATTTACACCGTTCTTTCAATTTTACCTTATCCTCTTGCTTATAAAAACGATAATAATGATTTAGTTAACCATCTTATTGAATAAAAAGTTAATTATAAAAATAACATACCATTTTTTGAGGCCCAATCCTTGTTTGTAAAATTTTGTCATTCTAAATTTATTATATTAATAGCTTCTTAGGTAAAAAAAATGAGAAGCTAATTAAAGTCTAAATAAATGACATCACGTGATCAACTGATAAAGTTGGGAAACAATTATGAAAATAATTTTTATAAAAAAACCCTTAAGAAAAATAACCTCTTGATCCTTAAGCAAAATCGAACATGCATTTATTTTATTATTATATTAAATTAAACATCTGTTTTCCATTGTAACATATAAATAAAATCATTGTTAAATTGGAAATATTGAATTGACTAGAAATAATTTTATTATATGATCAATAGAATATTTATAAAAAGAAATGAATTTAAAAATCATGATTTTTAAAATTTATAAACCAAAAAAATTGATTTATTTAATCAAATTGCTATTATTTTTATAATCATATTTTTTAATAAAATAAAAATATCGAGGAGGATAACTTCTGAGGCAAAGTTATTAATCAAACATGCATTCATTTTATTATATTAATCATCTGTTTCTCTTTGGAATTTTTAAATAAACCATTGTTAAATTGGCAATATAGAATATGATTAAAAGTATTTTATAATAGTGTTATTATCAGAGGCCTGGCAGAAGATCACAGGGTCCATCCTCGTAAAATGGCATGGGGCTCCCAAGATATATAATTTTTTTAAATTATCGTTGCATAGATTCAGACACATATGACACATCTCTTAAGCTACAATTTATATAAAATAACTATTAGACGAAAATACTTGCAAAGAATACATTATTGCATAAATGTATGAAAACTGATTTTTTTTTTAAAATCAAAATGAGTATCAATAATTTAGGCATTTAAGAAAAATATTAGGTGTCGGAAGCAAAAAAAAATATTTGTTTAAATTTTATCTAAAAATTCCAAATATTTAAAAAAAAATTATTTTATAAGTTATTTTGTGATTTTCATGCATAAAATTGATAAAAAAATTAAAATTTATTTAAAACTCTTATACAATGTAAAACGTGAATCTTAAAATATTCATTCTTGGTTATTCGGTCTTACGTCTAGACTGACATAGCTCTTCGGAAATTTTTACTTTTGGCTTCTCTTCTTTAAAATAATAATATAGAAGACCCATATTTTAGCTTTCTTCAGATTCCTAAATGGTTTCCTATTCTTTTAAGCATTTAAAAAAAATATTTCTAGATTTTAGTCAAATGGATTGCAAATATTTTGAATAGGAGAATTGCTATCTTCCAATAATTTGCTACAGGGTGCGATTCGGTTTATTCCGATTTTTAATATACAATTATATAAAGGTTTTGTTCCATTCTGGTTTTTTTTGAATAAATTAATATCTATTCATTATGGTTTTAAAGTTATAACGGTTCTTTCCGGTTCGTTACGGTTTTTATAAATTTGATTATTTAAAAAAATTTCACAATATTAATTAAGTTAAAAATAAATTGTTATCATATAATTTAATATCTAAAATGTAAAACATAAGTGCCATTGTTTAGGTAAAAATTTATATTTATTCTTTATTAATTGAATTGAGATTCATTTTGTTATGTTATAAACATATATATTTAATAATAAAGTAACAAAATTATATCATCCAATCTATTAATAGATGGTTTAAATCTTTTTATATAATTATATTTAAATTAATTATCATGTAAAAAACTATAATATTCAATCCGCTTGACATATTATTATTTGAAAAAATAAAAATTAATTTTTGTTTAATATATTTGTAAAAATTATATTAAAATTATTACTTAAAAATAAACTTTATTCTATTTATTATCTTTAATATTGATTGAAACAAATTATAGTTTAAATTGCTAAATTTAAAATATGGGTTTTTTTTAAATAAATTACAAATTGTAAAATTTTAATGCTTATCTATATTTAAAGACAAAGCCCTAAACCAAAACAAATTGATATTTATTAAAATCATTTTGGTCTACTTTGCTGTTGATATTTTTTTTAATAATTCATTATCAAATTTAGCAGTTAGGGAAATATATGATAAGAGAATAATTTTGTTAATCGATCCTTTCAAAAAGATCGAATCACTATCTTTTTTTTAAAAAACGGGATTTAAATCCAGGATCGAACTTTTTTAAAAAAGGATCACGATCCTTTTCTTATTTTATAAATTTTTGACGAAAATATATGATCGATGCAAAATTAATTAATATATAAATAATTTAATATAGTTTAAATTTATTGTAATGAAATACTATAATTAAGAATAATATTTATATATTTATTTATAATCAAAATTAGCCATTAAATAATAAAAAATCCCCTTCTTTCATTAAGAGCATACTTAGATTTACTAAACTACGCTCTTGTGGAGCGATTCACAGCAAAGGTGTTATATTTAAAAGTTATTTTTTAAATATATTTTGTACTAAAAATATTAATCGAAAAGCGCATTTTGCAAAAAATTTCTCGCACAGAAAGTATTAGTTTTATCTATGCAATTATTAGAATAAGAATCTGCATGTGATTGATCCTTTAGAATTTCTAAATGGGCATTACCTATTTTTCCAACCGATTTTGCTGCAGATTGATATTACGCCAATTAAGTTTAATTTTGGGTGACTTATTGCTGCTAATAAGCTACTGTCTTCACACAATGAAGGAAATCTACGTTATGAAAAATGATAATTCTTAATTATTTTTATACGGAGCTGAGGATAAGGTTAAAGGTTCTCATTTATATCTGTCACTTCAATAACTTCTTCTTCTTCTCCGTTTTATGGCAATTTCCAGGTTTACCCTGGTAGGCCAGTTTTCCTACTGATTTTTCTTTTCCATTTTTGACGGTCCTGAGTTGTGTTGTTAAACGGCTAACTCAATATTGTAGCCAGAATAATATTACCTAAGTCTCGAGATTTCGATGATATATGTCTAGACCTTTGTTCCTTCTATGAGCAAAATCTTCAGGCTTGCATAATAATTTTCTGGATGAAATATTGAGTTAGCCTTTTTAAAAATCGGCTCAAAACGAGCCGTTTAACAACACTAGTCCTGAGCATCAATATTTGTAGGATTCATGCTTCTCATATCCGCCGCTATCAAATTTATCCACATCATCTTCGGCCTTCCTCGTCTTGATCCTCCTACTTCCATCAAGGTGCATCTCTTTACCCAGTCATCTTTTGTCATACGTTCCACATGCCCAAATCATCTTAGTCTATTTCGTCGCATTACCACTCCAATCATTTTCTTGCTCGCAATTCCTTGCTAGATTCTCTCTCTCTCAGAGATACCCCACAATCATCCTCATCTCTTTTCTTTCTAATTTTGCTTCGTGAGTCGCTTTCATTGCCCATGTTTCGCCGCCATAAACCAAACAACTCCTCACACAGCTTACGTAAACTTTCCCCTTTAACTTCAGAGAGACTTTTTTATTTTTAAGAATAGACGACATCTCTTTAAACTTCTTCCAAGCTTGTATGGCCCTTGCAACAACGGCAGAATCTACACCACCATCTGCGTTTAGCATATCACCCAAATAGCAAATATCCACTTTTCCTAGGATGATAAAATTTAGCAATTAATTAAAATTATTTTCAAATTATAATAAAATGAAATGCATGACAAAATGTTTTTTATATTTGAAGATAAAAACTAATGTAAAAATCTAAAATAAAAACAAAAAGAAAAATTGATTTAAATCTGGATTTTTATTCAAGAAATTATGATTTGATCATGCTGTCTATATTACATTGAATACCTTTTTTTTTGTAGGATATCATTTTGGAGTTTGGACCATCATATACGACCGAACCTACAATAGCTTGAGCCGGTGTCAGAATCTCAAGGATAATCTTAAAGATTTTCGCTTGGCCCTTATAAATACGCCTATCAAAGGCGTTTACGAATTATTCCTCACTCTAGATCGAATGGTATATTTCAAATCTTTGTTTTCTTTTATCATTTATTTTTATTACATCGTATAAGGGATTATTTGCTATTTATTTCTCTATTATTTATACAAAATTACCAGCATAGGCAGAGCCTAGAGAGCGGGAGATCACCTTTCAAAGTTTATAATTTTAAGTATATAAAAATTGACTCTTCCTCTTCATAAAAAACTATCAAATAATTATATACATCAATTTTTAAAAATACATTTTTAAAATAATTACTATAGCTTAAATTACCCCCCCCCCCTTCAAATAAATTCCCCTCTATAAAAATCCTGGCTACGCCTTTGGTCATTATTAAAAAAAATTATATTATTAATTTTCAATATAAAAATTGTAAGTAATATTATTTTTCCATTGTATAATATTTATTCCTCCAGAAAAAAAATGCAAATAACTGAGTTTTTTTAAAACACAAGGCTTCCTTTCTGGGAACAATAATCTTTATAGGTTCCCATGAATATCTATCCGACTAAGACATTTATTTCATTATAACACTTCAAGGCTTAATTTTTTTTATTTTAATTTGATATATTTCCATATATACATTTTATCTCATGCTTCGTGGAAACCTGCTCTGGAGTGCAGACAAAAATTTTGGGCTAAACTCGGATTTAAAATATAATATTATGTTTTTTTCTCTTCCTAAATTGATAATAGAATTTCTTCGAAGGCAAAGAAATTTGCAACTATTTTTTATTTAACTTTATAATTATGCTTTAAATTTACATTTTTAAAAAAATAAAAATTCGGACTTAGCTTGGGCCAATAAATAAACGTTTTGGGCCAGGTTCTGGTTTGAAATTAATAAAAATCTCGAGCCGGGTGGGCTCAGGTTTGAAAATTTATATTTTTGAAAAAACTTAAAGCAGGGTTTAGACGGATTATTTTAATTAAAATTTTATACATGAAAGGGGGAAATGAGGAAGAAATTGGGGAAAGTAAGATTGCCCTGCATTCACAGTATTTCGCCACGAATTTGCGCTAGCTGTGAATGTAGGATTAGTTAGGTGAGTTCATCTGAGCATTAAAGATTCGAGGAATAACATTGTTTTTTAATAAGTATAATATCAAATTTCCTTTTTATACTTAAATCAAATGAATGAATGCTAGATAATCTCTTCAATCCGAAATTCGATAGATACCGCTACTACAGTGCTGCTTATGTTTTTTACCTTCATTACCTTACTTTCCTTGGGGATATTTTTGTCCTTTCAAGTATATATATGTTTCCTCTTTATTTGTAACGACTAAATCTCTTAAAACACTGAGAATAGACAGTCCTTAAACAATCAGAAAAAATACTGAATATTGAATTTTTTAAGGTTCAAAAATTAAACTTAATTACTGTGAAATAATAATTGCTCAGAATAATATATGAAACACTCGTATCTAATCTGCTAATCATCAGGGGCTTCTCTAGGTTTTTACGAAAGGGGGTGCATAAAGGTGCTAATTTATTTTAAATTAAAGTGTCTATAAGTTTATTCATTTTATTTATACATTTAATTTTCATGGTGGGTAAGGGTACAATATATATTTTATGTCTTTATTTAGATGCTTATTTATAGGGCGCATGAGAAATATTACAATTTTTATTGAATAGATATATCAAGAAAGCGCGCACCTAGTTAATGTAGTTCATTCGGCAGTTAATTCTACCATCGTTGAAAATCAGTAAATTTTATTAAATTTACCTAATATATTTTTCCTACGCAAAGAATGGAGAGAAAGAAAGTAAGTAATAAATACTTGATTTAAAACTTGTAAAAATCATTGCAATATTACCTTAAAAATGTCTAAAATTTTTATATCTCGAAGGACAATATTTTGTTTGTCTTACAGTTACAGATGTAGTTAAGTAATTGATCTATTTTTAGCTAGCTAATAAAAGCGGCTGAACCTAGTTTTTAGCCGAAAACTATCACCTCAACTTCGGGTTTTTTTTTGAAAAATATAGCTCAACTTTGAGAAAAGGCAGAAATAAATGAACGCATGTCTCCATACTTAACGGATTTTCTTAGGCACGCGCTTGTAAATTATGCTGAATTGGTGGATTTTTGCTCATTACTCAACTATACTTACTAGTGATAATTATAAATCAAAATTATGTTGTCCCTTATCATTTAATTTGTTGGAGATAATAATCGTATTTAGTGATAGTTACTTGAAAAACTGGCGTATTATACCGAAATCCGTCCCTAATACCTTATTTTAAATGTTTCTCCAACAAAAAATTAAGATCGTTTGCTTTGATATGAGCCAACATGCTTGTTAAATTGATTTCAGAAAGAGGCTTTTTAAACTCAAACTTAATTTTTTATTTAACGTATATATGGTCAAAGATAAGAAAGAAGGATGTTAGAAAATGCGAAAATAAAATGATATCGCTCTACATATAGCTATATATTTTCTAGATTTTTGTATATCCTTTATGGCAATAATGAGCTATTTTTGCAAAATATGAATGCAGACTAAGATTGATTACATAATATGGGTAAAAAATGTTAGTAGACGATTGGGAGATAATTTAAATTTTAAGCCGTGAAAAATCAGTTAATATTAAGGTTAATTTGAGAACAAACCCTATTTGAGCACGGCAAAATAGAATAAAATTTAATTTTTTGTGGGCCTGAATGACAAAAGCTAAAGAAGCCTTAATTGTAAAATGATTTAAGACTTTTTTTAGATAGAATGAATGATTTTAAAAAAATTAACAAATTTTTATCGTGTATTTTAAATTTTTCATGATTATGTAGATGGTTCCAACCGTCAGAACAAATGGAAAAATCGGTGGATTCTGTTTTAGAAAGCGGTTACAATGCTGGAAGAGAGTGGATAGCCAATCAGGTTTTTGTTATTTTTTTATAAAGGGAATTATTCAAATTAAGAAAAGCACGATACAAAGTGAGAATGAACTATTTTGGAATTGTCATACGCACTCTATAAAGCAATTTTTTTATTTAGAACACACGGAGTTTTTCTTTATACCCTTGCATTATAAATTATAATATATTCTGCAATATTTATTTCCATAGCATTGTAACGTTTTATGTTTACATTAACAGTGAACAATGAAGGGAATGTTTTCTGTAGCTGTTAATATCCATTTTTTTTTAAAGTTACAAAATGTATGAATGATATCTAAAACTAAATATTGCTCAAGAAACCAAATAGTCACCAAATCTGAAAAATTTATTGAAAAAAAGCATGTATTCAGGGCTTTTAATAGTTCATATTATAATCTTTTTAGATCCATTTATGTTAAAAATTTCAATTCTTTACAAGGATTTTCTTTTAAATGCTTTCAACTATATCAAATTGAATATTTTTTTTCGCACAATTTAAAATCAATAATCAACTTACAAGTTTACGACGTTAAATCAACAGAATAGCAACAAGGATCTCTCCAAACTTGAGAGTCAGATTTTAATCTTATGGGACCATGTATATGATAATATGATTAAGGTATTCCTTATATAAGAATAACTCATATGTATATATATTTACTTAGAAAATTATTTATTTCGGTAGTTATTATCATAGGAATGTCACAATCAAACGCAGGTTCTGGGGTGAATTTTTTTTATAAAATAAAGAATTTATTAAGAGATTTTCTTATCTCTCCAATTTATTTGAAAACTTTATGAATGGGCCAAATTTTTTTGAAATACACTATATATGATATTCATTTAAAATTTGATGCGGCATAATAAAATTTTATGATTAAAATTTATTCTTGATCCCTTCCTTTAAAATTCATATATTTTACTTAGAAAGGGACGATGTTCAAATTATCTGGTGGCAATAAATCGAGTATCATGAACAAAAACTTGCTGGTTCACAATTGGCAAAACATTGTTGAAAGTGTAACTCAGCTAGGTTCTGCTCACAAAGACGGCATAATGAAGTTTGTGAAGGAAAACATCGACACCCTTAATTCTGTGAGTATTTGTCACTAAGGGTTGGCAAGGCTACTTAGGTCCACACTATAAAAAAAAATCGCATTTATTTTATTATAAGCTTAGAATCAGGTAACTTATACTAGATTTTAGGGGAAAGAACAAACCCAATTTTATTTAAAAGAACGGAATTAAATTTAAACAGATTTTAAATTCCAGAACATTCCAAGGATTTATTAATACTTAACTTAGGCCTCAAACAATGATCAAGCGTCCATAGAAGCAAGAGTACCTTGTAATTTTTCTTAAATTTTTTATCATCATATAATTATTTCCTGTTTATATATTACGTTAAACAAAATATTATTTAATATAAAATTTAGGTTTTAACTACCATATGGCTGATCATAAAAAGCAACATCAATCTCGTTTTTATGATATCTTCGAATACCTTAGCCTTTATATTCGGTGGCGGCACTGCTATCCTGAATTTCTTCTTGTCTTGGGTATTACATTTATTTTATTTACCCAATATCCAAAAGTTGATTGGCTTTTCGTAAATTAATGATGTTTTAAGATAGCAACTAAACTATTCAAATTTTTTTTCAGTGTTGGACTTAATATGTTTTTGTTTATTTTATAAAAAGGAGCGTTAAATATTAAATTTTCAAATGGGGAAGGAAAATAATGAAACTTAATAAAGGCATGGATGAAAGAGATGATGAGATTCAAAGAAAGAAGAGAACGAACGAAAGAAAAAAAGAGAGAAAGAAGGAAATAGAGAGAAAAAAGGAAATTTTATAAATATTCCAAAAAAAATTGAAATATAATTTTTTTTATTAAAAAATCAATAAGATCATATTTCTCTCGACTCTCGTTTACTTTTTGAGTTCTAGCGGAGAACAATATAAACCGGTTCAACTTTTCACTCAGTTTATGCCCGGAAACGAAGATAATACCGAGAAAACGGTTTGAATATTTATTTTATTATTTAATTAACTCCCTTCCAATTTTCAGAAATGGTGGTTATATCTGTTGTTGTTAATCGTTAATTAGGTTTATTAAAAAATTGTGATTTTATTTAGAATTTATACTTTTATAAAACTTTTTTTAACGCCGATTTCATGCATTTCAGAAAAAAAAAATAAGTGCACATATAGCATTCCAATTTTAAAGAGTTTTTTTCTTACGGTTTAACCTATTTTTAATTCCCTCAACTTTAATCCTCCTTTCTCACAGAAGCAGACAATTCAAATAGTAGATCCTAATCCTGACTCAAAGTCAGCCTCACCTTCCGAGGAGGGTCAAAAAGAGGTGAGCGTTATCAGCACTACCACAGTCACCACCATAAAATCGAAGGTTCCTCAAAAGGAGGCTCAAGATCACAGTCGTAAAGATCATGCGAAAGAGTCCCCGAATGAAAAGGATTTCGATAAGTCTGGAAGCAAAGAAACGAAGGGGAAAGAGGGCGGGTCTACAGGAGCCAATAAAATTGCGTTGGCTATTCAGGAAGCTATAAGGTTCCTTAGTTAGAAGAGAAATTTGTTATCACACTAAAAAAGATCGTAGCTTGATAATTACATGTTCTTGTCTCTATTTTTGTTTGAATTGAATTATGTTTGATCTCATTTACCTATTTGAATTTAACTCCTCTCCCACCTCCCTTCTTCTCTAATATTTATATATTTTTTATAAATTAGTTTCATCTGATTTTTAATCTTTTAAATTGAAAAAATTATAAAAATATAGAAATAAAATATCTCATGTCATTTTTTTTAAATGACCGAAAATTAAAGAGAGAACCATGTAATCTCACTATGATATTTTATGTTATATTATCGGACGAGAAAAGGCTTTTTTTAAATCGAATTTTAGGCTGAGGTTTTTTTGAAAAATTTGTAGCATATTTAAAAATTGTTATTAAAACCTGTTAATATTTCGACCTGGTTTTTCTAATAGTCATATTCTATTATAAACCATATTTAAAATTTTCATTCATTTCTTTTGTAATATATACATATTCTGCTCTTATATAATTTAAATGCCCTTTAATAAAAAAATAACCTGAAAAATTTTCCTCTATACAATTTTTTATTACAAAATTATGTAAGATGTGCATAATCATATCATTTTAAAAGACACAATTTTTATATAGGAAAAATGATAATAAAAAGCAAGTGAATAAAAAGAATTAATTTTTCAAATTTTTTCTTCTAACTTTTAAATATAAAGCGGTGTCTTCGCGGCTACCTTGAAAATGGCAACATTTTATGGGCTCTACACGTGGTTAATGCACAAAATTTTCGGTGTTGGCATGGTCTACATTCCTACTGGTACTTGTAATTTCCTTTATTTTAAATGATAATCTTGTAAAATAATATATTAAATTTTTTAACTATACCTTCTATTTCTAACGAAATTTTGGTTAAAATTGCCAGAAGTAGTTGTATAACTTTTTGGTCTAAATATATTCACCAGTCATTCTTTACCATGGTGTTTAGAGATTTTTTAAAATTTGTGCAGCTGTTTATCTTAAAGTTAAAAGTTTTAAAAAAAATTATTCAAAGAGGCCATATTACGTGTTTCTACTATGATTTCTCAAATTCGGTTTGTATAAAATTTAAATAGATCAGAACAAACATATCTAAAAAGTGGAAATAAATTTATTTTTTTGAATATAATTATCATAATGTTTCAATACATATATATGGGAGATGTAGGCTAGTCGACACCTTTTTAATTAAAATATTGATAGCATCAGAAATTACTAAATACCTCATAATTACCTTTATTATTATATTATATATATTTATATTGACCAATATAACAAATATAGTATAATACATAAGTTAAACTTTTTAAATAAAAATTAAGAGACGTCATATATAAAATGATTCGTGGTAATGTACAAATTCTTTGGTAGGATTTATTGTGTGATTCTATCTGACACGATTTAACAGCTGATAGATTTTAAAATTGTTTATGAGATCAATTTTTATTTATTAATATATTTTTAAAAAAAAAATTCTATTCATGATAATTATCTAAGAATTATTGAATTTATTAATGAAAATCCCAATAAAAGATTTTTTAAATCGCTCAGTTCTTAAATCATGTCGGATAGGATCCTACTATGAATCCAGCCTTAGATGGCAAATATATTGAATATTTAAATTAAAAATCGGCCTACCTTAAATTGACCCGTGGAAATTTTTGAAAAATTATTTGCTGCTTAGCACGTAAAACATTTTGGTGCAAGTTGTCCAACTTGACCCGTAAATTTTTTATGGAAGAATCTAAGCTTTAAAAAAAATTGTGAAATTTCGGCTCAGCCAGAAAATATCTTTGGGCTCGCCGACCTCTAATTTAAATATTATTTTAAAAAATATTTAAAAAAACGTAGCGAAACAGATGAGTTATTACGGTGTCAGGAAGACAACCTATATTTTTTTATTCAGATATAATGTTTGTCAAATTAGCCCTAAACAAGGTGCTAACAAACAGCTAATGGTTTAAATAATATATAATGTATATAAAAAATGAGATAAAATCTAGCAGTTATGACTAATGGATGGGCTATTCATTATCTCAAACTCTATTTAAATCTTCACGCTTTGTTCAAAAATCAATTATTTCTAAAGCTCTGGCTTCGATTTTTGCCGCCGTCCCTTTCGTAGGAACGTATGTGGCTTCGCTACCCGCCACTCTGGAATTATGGATCTTGACGGGAAGTTACGTTATACCTCTCATATTTTTCGCTTTGCATTTGTTGCCGAAATTTTTTGTGGATGCGACCATTTATAAAGAAATCAAAGGGTAAAAAAAAGTGTGAACCAAAAAAAACAAAGAAAGATATAAGTGAATAGAAAGATATATAAATTATGAAAGAATTAAAAACTAAAAAAAGATAAAGAGGAAAAACGTTCAAAAATATTTAAAATAATTTACAAATTTTTTGAAAAACAATTATAGTGGAGGTCATCCTTACTTTACTGGTCTGTCTATCGTGGGCGGTATCTATATGTTCGGACTCGAAGGGGCTTTGATAGGCCCCATGCTTTTGTGTTGTCTTTTTGCTGGGCTTAAAGTCTTTGGAGCATATATGCACGAAGAATAATAACTTATCAACATAAATCCATTTTTTCAGTTCTTGAAATAACTTTCATTTCAATTTTAAATTTTTTTTGAGCACATATTGTAATTTTTAGTTATTAAGTTAATTATTATACGAATTATGATTAGACTTCTCTATCTTAATATATATTTGTTAAAATTAGAATCTTTTTTTATATGTTTAATATTTATACTTTTTATTGTATATTTAGTTCAAATATTGATTATAATATATATCCTATTATAAAATTAAAGTTTAATTAATTATTTTAAAAAAAATATTGCATTAACGAACTCGGTAAATATAAAAAAACCTACGCTTTTACAACTAGTCCATTTTTTCTATTTTCGCATTTTTAATTCGATATTATTATATATTTTTTAATTGAAAAATAACACCCTCTCATAAAAATATTAAACCTTGTCCTGTTATTTCGCCAAATTTTTGGTTTAAAAGCCATAATATGGTTTTATATTTATTTTTACTAACCCACCATATATTTATATTTAAAAAAACAATTATGTGAAATAGATAGAAATAAAACAATTATATTTTAAAAAATTAACTCCTTTAGATTGCAATTACTGGTTTGCATGAAGTATAAATGATCGAAAAATCATAAATTGTCATAATATTTTTGTTTCATTCATTCACGTACAAAAAATCATGTTTTAGCTAATATAGTAAAATAGAAATAAATATAATAAAATTCGTTTCGTTTTGGAGATATTATAATTCTTTCTGATTCGGACAATTGAAAAATTAAATTAAAATGATAATCATTTTAAAATGACATGCTTAAAAAGGTGGAAAATTAATAAGAGTGAAATATTTATATTAAACGAGATATTTAAAAATTCAAACTTTTTCTTACAATTTTAAAGCATATTTATTTTTTTAATATGCCTAGCAATATAAATTACATATTGAACGAGCTAATTTTAAACACCAATTTTTCATGTTTTTGAAATAAATTGCTAAATCAAAATAATTTCCTTTTGATATATAGTACATTTGTTTATTTTCCCCAATATCACTGATATGTCACACCAATATCTTAGCCAAATATATATTTTTTTCTTAGTAATAGGCACTACTTCTTGTTAAAAGTATGAAATGATTTCAATGCATCAAATCTTATTGATTTCGATCTAGTAGTATCATTTGATTTCGATGTACTACGTCTTATTGGTTTCGATGTATTCCCTACTGATTTCGATGTACTACGTCTTGATGAATTCGTTGTACTTACTGTTTTCGATGTACTACGTCTTGATGAATTCGTTGTATTTACTGTTTTCGATGTACTACGTCTTGATGATTTTGATGCGCTACTCATCTTCGATGTAATACGTCTTATTTTTTTTATGTTTAAAAAAAGGCGTAATTTAAATCACGAGTTATCAATGATAGGGTGGGTGTTTTATGGTCCTTAAGGGTGGTTTTTATTACTTTATCTATTGGACGAATTTGTACCCTTTTCAGTTCGATTTATACTATCATTCATTTTGGGATATCAAAGAATAAAAGGGTTGGGCCAATTTCAAGGCAGCCCCACCATACTAGAATTTAAAAATAAAAAGTACACAGGTCGGTAGATAATGATTTGTACCATTTTCTGGTTGACTTGTACCATTAATGTTTATAAGATATTCGGGTTTAAACTTTGGCGCTAAAAATTAAAAATCTTCAAAATTGATATTTTTTTTAAAAAAAATTCTTAAACAAAAAACGATAGAGAACATTTTCTCATTCTTAATAGCGCCTTAAAATTATTTTGTTCTTCATTAGTTTTTCCGAAAATCAAGTTTTAACTAGCAAAAAGCGTGAATGCTCCCATTTTTCAGAGTTGTAAAATTTTACTGTTTTTTGGTAGTTAGCTAATAGCGCGCTCTTTTTTCTACTTTAAAATATATACTATACAAGATACTGAAATTTGTTTATAATTTATCATTCATTTTAATATTATAAGAATTTAATTTTGTAATTTATATTTCAAAATCGCTTTATAAATCTAATTTATCAAGTATAATAAAAAAAATAATAAGCCGCCAATAGATATAAACATGGATATTATAAAATGATATTCTGGAATTACCTTTCCCCAAATTTGAAAATATTTTGAACTTAATATAAACATTAATAGAGCAATTTCAGCCTAAGAAAAACATCTAAAGATATTATTAATAAGTTTTAATAAAATTATTATCTACTGATGAAAATTTAGAATGTATACACCTAAATTTCAGAGAGAATGCATTTGGTGTAGTAGAAGTGGCTACATCCAATAAATCAAATTTAATTCAAACTAAAATGATTTCCTACAATATCAGAACCATTTGTTGATCAAAAATTTGCTGATATAGGAAATATCAATTTTATTTTTCACATAGTTCAGCCAATTTCCTTGGTCCTTAATTCCTTATTTATCAATCTAATTACATTATCAATTGGTACCAAGATATCCTGCTTGCAGAAGTAAGAAATTTCGGATAATTCACAAGAAATTAATGCATAGGCATAGCCAGGATCTCGATATGGGAGGATGGGTTTTTCCCTACTATAAATCTTATTGGAGATCTTTAAGATCACTTGCAAGCGTTTGGCTTTACATTTTTTAAAATAAATGTTCGGGTTTCACTTTTTTTAAAAAAAATTTGAATTATAGTCATTTATTTAATTTTCAGAATCAGATGGTGTTGAACATGGATTATTATTTTATTATATGGTTATTATTTAGCGCAAATTTTTGTTTCTTCAATTTCTGGCGTGGTAATGAATGAATGAATGAATTATTTAATAGATTTTTTGTATATATAAAGGATAAATTTATTATAGTTTTTTAGTAAAATTGTAGTTAAATACTTTTAAAATATATTTATTAAATAAAAATTTTGTTTAATCTTGCCTTGACCCCTGCTAACCTTTACAGATGGTGATGCTGAAATAACAACTTCCATGTATACTATGCGAATCTATAAAATTAATAATATTCAAATAAATAAACTATACTATAGAACAAAAAAGTGGCGGGTTAAAAAATTCAAATAGGCTAAACGAAACGGTAAGGTGTGCTGCCTTTCCCTTATAGCTTTTTCCCCTAAGGAGCGCCAATGATTAGCAACAAGCGCCATCCTATACATTTATTTCAATACTGATTTTAATGGGGATATAGCTGAGGGATATTTTTAAGTATTAATTGTTTCTTTAACTTGTGCTAACACCTGATTATAAATAAAGGCCTTTGACTTGAATGCCTTATCTCTCACGGCATCTTTTAGTTTTTGAATTGTTTTAAGATAAGAATATTTCTTTTCATCATCTATATGATTATGATTTAGGAGAACATAAATTCTCTCATTAATATATCGATTAGTTATACAATTTCTGCGTCTACACCCATAACAATATAATTTTAGATTAATAATTAGTATAAATACCTGTAATACATTGATCCTTACACCCATTATGATGATAATAATATCAAAAGTAGTGATCTGCATCGGGCCTAATTTTTCAGGCCCGGCTCGAAATTATTTTTAAAAAAGTTTTGCCGACCCAGCCCGAACCCGAAATTTTTTAAAAAGTTTTGCCGCCCGGCCCGGCCCGAATCCGAAATTTATTTTTAAAATATTTACCGGCCCGGCCAGACCCGAATTTATTTAAATATAGAAATTAATTTTTATAATTACTTAAAATAAAAGACATATGTTATATAGCGTTTAGTTTGAATAAATTAAATCCAAAGTTTTTATTTTACATAAAAAATTCAATATAAAATTGATAAATTTAGATATATTTAATAAAATTTCCAAGGCCCGACCCGACCCAGTCCGAAATTCTTTTAAAAATATTAGACCCGAGCCAGGCCCGAAGCCCGTTCGGGCCGGGTCGAACTCAGGCCGGGTACTAGCCGGGCCTAACTTTGCAGATCTCTAATCAAAGGTAGTACGTACATTTCTTTATTTCTAGAAGTTAACATTACTTCAAAATCTAAAATATTCTCAATTAAAATATTAAACAAATGGTTAGTAATACCAATCTATATCAACTGCAAGCAGATTTTATTATCTATATTTAGTTAAGATAAGATTAGAAACATTTCATTATTTTCTGATTAGTTCTTAAGAGAGTGATGCTAATAATTCTTCTGTATTTTTATTTATTTGATCTAATATATTATATCTAAGATTTTAGACATAATGCAATTTACTGATGAAGTGATCTGGATTTGGAGTGGATAATGATTCTTCTGTTAGGAATAAAATTATAAACACAATAATACAACATACTGATAAATTTTTAATATTTAATGTTTTGTTTGAAATATGTTAAATTATCAACTACCAATGAAATTACACAATCGTGGAGCTTTGTGTCATTAAACCTCTCTTGTTTAAGAACCCGCCTTTGACAACAACTCACTGTACATCTATATAATATATAATCTGAACTAGATGATTTTTTATATAAACCCTCTTGCCGAAAAAGTTGTTCTAATTTGTTTTAATATGAGACCGACACTTGAAAATTTTCATATTAAATAATAATTATATTGTTTATAAATAAATATTTAAACATTTTACTAATTAAAAATAAAATAGATCATTATTTAGTGAAAATTATATTATTATTTTAAATATTAATATAATTGTTACTTATTACATTTGTTGGCGCTATGCGGAAAAGCTATAGGCGAAATGCCTATAGGCGAATTGTCGGTACATTAAAGGAAACAGCTAATTAAAAATAAACCTTTTCTTAAAATATACGGATTGAATTGATATTTTTTATAAATAAAAAATATTTTTTAAAATTGATCGAACGTAAAATAAATGTATTCTTCAAAAGGGAACGCGTCCACGTTCAAAGTTCATCAAAAATAAAAGGAACGCCGTTCATAGTTTTTTTCAAAAAAAACTAACGTTCACTAACAAACGCGCTTTGAACGCTTTTTACAGCATTACTACCAATATTCATTAGTTTATAAATCCTCTTGACGCTTTTTTAAATCTAAAAATACTCAAATCAACATTTTTGATAATTTCTTTTATATAAAGTTTAAAAAATTAAATACTGCATTGCTCTCTAGTGTTTCTGGGAAACAATAATTTAGTGAGGTAGAACTTGTACTTTCT